ATGCTGAAGTGTACGCCACAGCTTTTCCCTCTAAGGGTTTCAGAATATCAGGTCTGATGTTGAGGTCCTTGATTCATTTATAGTTTTTACAGGGTGAGAGATAATTTCGTTCTTCTACTTGCTGATATCTAGGTTTCACAGAGCTGTTTATTGAAAATACTGCCTTTTCTACAGTTGCTACTTAAAATCAGGCATTAATTACATGTGTTATTATCCAATTTTTAATCTATATCTGTTGTGTGTCAGTAGCATAATGTTTCTATTATTATGGCTCTGTGGTATAACCTGAAATCAGGTATGATAGTACCTCCTGAAGTATTATTTTTGCCCAGGATTTCATTGCCTATCCTTGGTCTTTTGTGCTTCTGTATACATTTTAAGATTGTTTTTTCTATGTCTCTGAAGAGTGGCTCTAGAATTTTTATTTTAGCCGCATTGAATCTGTAGATTGTTTTGAGTAAGATGGACATTTTTATGATATTAGTTCTTCCAATTCATGAGCACTGGAGGGGTCTTTTTATCTTCTAATGTCCTGCTATTTCTTCAGTTTTCAATGTAAAGGTATTTCATTCCCGTCATTATATTTATTCCCAGGAATATGCGTTATAAATTGGATTGCTTCCCTGATTCCTTTTACAGAATTTTTGTCATTGTATATAGGAAGTCCAATTGGTACTTCCACTTAAGTGGTTTACCTCTCCTGATAAGTTCTGCTGTCCTCCTAATGAAAGTGTATTAGCACTGCTCCTTACTGAGCAGAGTAAAATCCCACTGTATTTGTACACATTAGACTGTTTAAACTAATTACAATCGATTCAAGGGTTCCAGTCATTATTTGTTTTCTCTTTTCTACATCTTTAAAATGCTTTTCAAGATCACTGTTCAAAAGTTCTGCTCCAGGATGGGAAACACATTATTTGACAATGATTGTCTAGGGAATGTAATAGTTTACAAACAACTAAATCCATGCCTCATCTGTATAGGTATTTTAAAATATTTTTTTCTTTACAAAAATAGTCTAGCAGAGAAATAGAAAGCACAGTATGATAGGCACTTGTGTATCTATCACCTAGAATCAACTCAATAGTAGCTAGCATTTTGCTATATTCATTTTATCTCTGTGTATACATGGGGTCTCCCTCCCTGAGACATTTAAAATTTAATTATAGATACAACATTTCAAACACTTAATGTGGGTATATCACTGTACAACTCCATAATTTTATTAATATACTTAAAGATTAACAATATGTTCTTGGCTATACTTAATGCCAGCACATATTCAGATTTCCTCAGTTGTCCAAGTACCTTTAATAACTAGCTAAAGGGCCTAAGAGTTAGGAATGCTAGAGGTTAGAATTACAGGAGGCATTATCAGCAGCCCGAGGATGTTCTATGGCAAGATTTCTCGAAGCTGTCAAGACTGACGTTCTGGATAATTCTTTGTTATAGGACTGGCATTTTCTCTGCATTGTAGGGTGCTTAGGCTGATCCCTAACTTCTACCCACTAGCTCCCAGCTGCACTTCCACACCAATTGTGATACTTGAAGATTTCTTCAGACATTGCTCAGTATCACCAGTTGAGGAGTGAGGGTGCAAGGTTGTGTTAAAATGACCCCTAGTTGAAAACCACTAATCTTGAGGAAGATACGACAATAAGGTTTTCCAGTTTGGGACAGATTCTCGAAATTTGTTGGGATATTTTACATACGTTATAATGTTCACCTCCTCTGGATAACAGGTCTGCAAGGTAGGGTCCCTTCTTTGATTTTTGAAGTTGGGGAAAGTTTTTAGTAAGGTTATATGCTATTGCTAAGGTTCAGGCTTGACCTATTCCATCTCAAAGATAATTCTTTGTTCATAGTCCAAGCTGTTTCTTCTTTTGATAACAAAACAAACAAAAATGCTGGAATAGCAGCATCCCCTGATTAAACGCAGAAGTATAAGGGGCATTATCAGCTCTGGGAGGGAAGAGGGTCAAAATGGTTAGACTATCCAGAGGGAACAAAGAACTTCGCCAGTAGTCTTTTGAGGTCTCTGGTGTCAGTGACTACTTAGAGAAGAGATGGCCATGAGAGAAGTTGAAAGAACATGCATTAGATTCCAGACACTAAGGAAAACATGGTAGGCCCTTAAGGTGCAACATTGGGGCAAATCTCCTTAATTAATTATTCTAATTCATGGACATTGAGTTTTCTACCTTCTAGTGTCTTCTATTTCTTTCTCTGGTGTCTTAAAGTTTTTATTATAGAGGTATTTGGTTTCCTTCATTAAATCTAAATATAGTTGGGAATGGTGAAAATATACCTATAACTACAGTACTTGGATGGTGGAGACAGGGGAATAAGATGTCAAGGTCCTCCTTGGTTAGCAAGTTGGAGGCCAGCCTGAGCTACATGAGACCCTGGTTCAAAATAAAAAGTAAAAAAACCAAAAACCCATCAATATGTGGTAACATTTCCTCAGGTTTTCAGGGTTTCTGTTTGCTTGCTTGCTTTGTGTGTGTGTGTGTGTGTGTGTGTGTGTGTGTGTGTGTGTGTGTTGTTTTGTGCAAGTGATGCAAGTTTTTCTACCTAAGGTATGATTCACAGAGTCTTGTCCCTGAATGAGCTTTCAAAAGCTAAAGAAATTTGAGTGACTGAGATGTTAAACAATCGTACCACAACATAACACTTGGCTTAACAGGCATATAGGTATGAAAATAACTATTTATGTTATGATGACTTTTTTTATAGTCTGAATGGGGGGGGGACAGAAATACAGTAAGTTGACCAGGCTCTTTTTTATTTTCTTGATGCCAAATGTAGGACAATGTAGTCATCATGTGTCTAAAAGATAAGCAAAAATGTTGTCACTGTCTCCAAATGCAACCAACTTTAAGAAGAAGATTCTCACAGACTAGCCATTTAAAACATTTAGTAGTAGCCAGAAAGTGGTGGCTCATGCCTTCAATATCAGCACTCTGAGCAGAGACAGGTGGATCTCTGTAAGTTTGAGGCCAGCCTGGTCTTCAGAGAAAGTTCCAGTACAGTCAAGGCTACACAAAGAAACCCTGTCTCAACCATGCTCCTCCTGCCCCTAACACACACACACACACACACACACACACACACACACACACACACAAGAAAAAAAATATTAGGCAGAATTTCCTTTTGAACTATAATGTCTAAGTATTGAGAACTACACATAATATTCAATTACTAATAGATTTATTGTGCTCCAAAGTCATTTGAACAAATAGCTACTCAACTTCCCTGGATTAAAAAAAAATAGGTATACAGAATTTGCATCTTCATTTACCTAACAAAAATAATCATTTGGTAATCATAGTCTGTGAAATCAGGGAGATGTTTTCCAAAAAGTATGACTATCTTTTAATGTTTAGATCCACTGTTTTAAACATTTTTGATTGGTTAAATTCTTTGAAATTCATCATTCAAACGTTTTCTTCGAATCTTACTTGTTGTTTGGTAGAGCTATCAAGTGAAAACAAACATGTTTGTCTGAAATCAACTGCCAGTTTTACGTGCAGTTTTTTGTTAACTTTCTCTGTCAAACATCTACAGTGACATACAATTTTTTTCAAACGTTTGCTAGAGCTATACCAGCAGGGGGCGAAATACAAAAGGAATATATTTGACAAGCAATATAGATTTTTCTGATTTCAGTGACTGGGAAATAACAAAAAAAAAAAAAAAAAAAAAAAAAAAAAAAAACCAGCATAATCACAAAGCACTTTGCAATTTAAAGTGATTCAGTCTCCGTTATCTTGCAATGACTGAACTATAAAGAGACAAATGCGGGTCTATTTTAGTTCTTCAAGTTAATTTGTGTAGAACATTGTAGGGGCAGGATAAACCATGATGAATTGCTATTGTCCTTATCTTTCCCGACATGTATAATTCCTCCACTCAAAGTCCTGGATAGGTCTCTGTGATGACGGGTGTTTTCCGTCCTTGTTTCTCTGGGTTACTGCTGAGCTTTGCGGTTTTGGAACTATTTTAAATAATTCAGCGTGGGCAGAAAAAGAACCCGGCAGGGCTCATGATTTATAGGGTAGATAGAGCCCAGGGTTCACTGTCTCAGACAGAAATAATAATCCTGCAGCCTTGTAGTCTGAATTTTACAGTGGCATGTGTTCTAACAGATTCATGATAAAGGGCGAGGAAAGGTTATAAAACGAAAGATCAACTTGCTCAGGACTGATGGAAACAAAATCTCTTATGAACTCTATTAATAGAGTCACCCAAACGCACAAGTAGATTTGAAAGATGTATGAAAAATGATCATCTTCTCCAAACACCGACACAATTCTGGACTGATTTTGTAGAAGACGATTTGCTAGTTTGCCTGCTGACTTCTCATCTTAAGTAGGACAATCCCTTCTCATTTGTTAAATAACAGCTTCCTCTTCTGTTGGCTTACAGAAAAAGAGGAAGAGAATGAAAAGGCCTTTTTTTCCGGGCTCAAAGGACGAGCTGATGCTTGTTGTCCAGCCGGTTTTTTAGTGGCGACCTGGTTCTGTGTTTCCATACGTCTGCAGTTTTATTCCAAGCCGCTCCCGGGCGCAACGGTAAAGTAACTGGGCTGAGAGGAGCTCGGATCGGGCGCTGGGAGCGCCGCCTCCGAGGGTCGGGCGGAGCGCGGACGTCCGCAGCCCACACTCCAGTGAGTCCACAAAAAGGCAGTCTGCCCGCACCCAAAATGGCGAACGTGGTTCCACGCACGGCGCCTGCGCACGAGTAAGAATTGTGTGACACCAATTCCCCTGGAGTGTCCTCCCCCACCCCGGCACCCACCAGCGCCCGGCCCCGACCTAGCCACCTGCGCCCGGAAGTGACGTACGACAGCAGCGGTTCCCCGCTGCATGATGGGAGAGTGTGTGGAGTGGGCGGGGGTCTCCGCGGAGGAGGAGGAGGCGGAGGCGGCGGCGGCGGAAGAGGGCGGAGGGTAGTGCGATGGGGGTCCCGCGGCCACGCTGAAACTCCGGGTGGGCGTCCATGGCGCCGCTGCGCTGACAGGGCCGGGAGCAGCCTGCCTTCCGCCCTCGCCAGCTCAGCGTCCGAGTAACCGGTCCTTCCCCGGGGAGCCAGTTCCTCCCCGGGCCGCCGAGCCATGCCCATCGCGACCGTCCGGGACGAGCCAGGTGAGTGCCGCCCCCGCGCTCCCCGGGCGCGGAGGAGCCGGCCGGCCCGGTCGCCCCGGCCTGGAGCACCTGCCAGCGCCGGCCCGGGTGCGGGCCTGCGAGCTCCGGCGCGGGCTCGGCTCTGCTCCGCGGATGCGGAACGCCGCTGGCAGCGCCCGGAGCAGTGGCACGGCGCTCGGCATCCCGGGCTCGGCCGACGACAGCCAGCCGTGCCCTCCCGGCCGCCGTGGCCCGCCCTGCCCCTCGGCGTCCACCTGGCCGAGCTGCGCGCCGGAGCTCCCTCCCGGCCGCTGTGGAGAAGTTTGGGGCTCCGCTCCGGCTTCCTCCTTCTCCCTCCTCCCTCGTGACAGGTGTAAACACTGTCTGCCTCGCGGAGGCCCGAGGCCGGCGGCTGCCGGACTGTGCCGCCTCGGGGGCGGGGGAGGGTGTCTGAATGCCCCGACCGGCAGACTCGGCTCGGCCCGAAGCTGTGTCCCTTGCGGAGAGGACCTTTTCGGCACTCCCCAGGAAATGAGCTGCGTCTTCGCCCTCATTGCTTTGGAAAGTTGAGCCATTATTCTTTAAGCGCTCGGTTTGGCAGGTGCTGCGGGGTGCAGGGGACAGAGGTTGAGCAGTGGTGGGTTCTTTCTCCCTTTGGAAACTGAGATGAGTTGGGCCTCCCACTGCCCCCCACCTTCTTGGTTTATTCAAGTTATAGCGTGATTCCCTTTTGAATCTGTTGCGGCCGAGGAAAGAACTGACTCATACATGTAAATATTAACGGGGGAGGGGGTGGCGTCAAAGGAGCGGTGGTTCTGTTTCAGAGTTTTCACTTGAAGTAAAACTTTTACCCATAAGCTTCTCGGCATAAATATCTTCCACGAGGCACATCCTCATACTCTGAGGTGGGTTTTTGTTTGAGGGTGGGTGGTGGTGGGGATGGGAGCTCGGGAACGGTTTAAATCCGATTTTATATTTTAACTGTTGCTTTCAGTTAAACTATTAGATAAATATATGCTAAACTCTAGGGGGAACTCTAATGCGTTGATCTAATGAGCCTAGTTTACCTACGGTTCATCAATTTCTAAATATTGACATTTGTAGTGATAATTTTTAACAGCTTCCAGGGGTCTATTTGTTAAAACAAAGTATCCTTAATGCATGGAGCTATCTCACACGAATAAAACGTTAGATCCAGATCAAAATTTCTAGTCTACCAAATGGCACCTACTAGATTATTAGATCTAGTCACTCTTCGTGTATGTGTCAGATTTAACCTTTGATGTTTAGAGACGTTATTTTAAACCACTAAAACCCCTGAAAGATGTTTAGTGGGACTCAGATAATACATAGGGTGCTTGAGCTTGAGTGTTACCTGATCTTTTGACCTGGAGGCTATAATGAAAACAATCCCATGTCAAGCAAAAATAAATCCATAATGCCATTGATAATTTTGCAACATCCTATTGCCTATGAAATCTCATAATCTAGGTGATTCCATTATAGAGCATTATTTTACATTTTAATTTGTTTATAATTAATAAAAGCTAGATGCAATAAATAGTGAAATTTGAATGCTGACGTTTTATTTTTTTCTGAAACTGAACACGCAAAAAAACTTATTAAATAGCATTTCATTGAAGAATTGTCTCCCCAACCCTCCCCTCAAGTCTTATAATAGTAGTCTATTACGTATTTAGATACTTAAAAGCCCTCAAGAATTACATAAATTAATGTTTATATTCCAATTTAATGTCACCAACAATTTGTTTTTGGTTTTTGAGTCAGAGTTTCATGTTACTCAGGCTAGCCTCGAACTTCTACTGCATCTCAAGTGCTTAGATTATACAGATATATCCCATCATGCCCAGCTTCCAAAAATTTGTAAATTAAAAATAAAGGACTTTTCTTTTTAAGCACTTTCAGATCCTCATTATGTAGGCCAGAAAGACTTTACTGCCTAAACATTTTTTTTTTTAACTGTAACTTTGAAAATATTCAGCAATTATGTATTTTACAAATGACATTTTGGTAACTTTTTTTCCGTGTGTGTGTGTGTGTGTGTGTGTGTGTGTGTGTGTGTGTGTGTACGTACGTACACAATCCCGGTCTTTTGGCAGCTTTGTATAATAATTTCTACACTGATAAGTGCGCTTTCTATGAGCTAAATACTTGCCCTTTTCTGTTTGTTTTGTGTTACTGAGGCATGAACCCAGAGCTCCATGCATTCTAGGCAGGCACTGTACCAGTGATCCCCATCCTTAGTCCAGCAAGATACTTAAGAAATGTTTTTGTGAGTCAATGAGATGGTTCAGTGGGTTAAAGGCACTTGCTGCCAAGCCTGGTATGACCTGAGTTTGATCCCCAAGACCCATATCATGGAAGGAGAGAACTAAGGCATGCAGATTGTTCTCTTGACTTCCACATGCATGCCATGGAAGACATATACATGTGCAGATGCACACGTAAATAAGTAAATGCAATTTTAAAATTCTAAATTCTTTCAGAGAATGCATTAAGTTTTTAATCCTCATGGGAACCCTATAAGGTAGTATATTGTGCTATCCCCATTTTTCAGAGGTAACTGGGGCACAAAGATGGTAATTTTCTTAAGGCAAATCACTGGTAATGACAAGGCAAGATACAATAGAATATTTATGTAGTTTTAAAAAATACAGTATACCACTGTTTTTCTAGAATTCATGAAGCATGTATTAACAAGTATAAAAATACATGGGCAGGGAGTGTTCTGCTCAGTGGTAGAACACCTGCTTAGCTTGTGTAAGATCCTGGGTTCAGAACTAGCATTGCACAAAAAGAAGTGGGTAATAAACTCCAAGTAAGTATAAAAGTTAACCTCTGGAGACCTGGAGAGTGCTAAAGGGTCAGAAGGCACCTTTGATGTTTCAGATGTATCGTTACTGTTTGACACATAACTTGGTTACAGTAAGTTAAGTAAGTTGTAACACATTTGTGTTAACAGTTGTGTAGTGGGTGTATAATCATTTCTTTTTCCTAAGCTTTATTTTATTGCTTGAAATGCTTTACAGTAAAATAAAAAGTTTAAATATTTCACTTCAAAACAAAGTGTCACTTTTTTCTTTCAGCAGGGTTTCAGAGGGAAATAGTGAAACAATGTTATTTTGTATTGACTTCATTTTAAAGAACAGGAGCTGTTGTTACCTTTAAAATGCTTAAACTAAAGCTTTTCCCAGTTTCCCTGCTATAACTTCAGGAAGAGTCCCGAAGAGGAGAACAGATGCAATATCCTGTCTTACTCTTGTTGACACTGCCACTCCTTGCAAATAGCTAACTTAAAGGCAAACCTTTCCAAGATAAACTGCTAAGACACTAAGAATCTGGATGTTCAGAGCTTAATTTACAAGAGTGATTAGTTCCCAGAGGAAAATAACATGGTAAATTAAGGTCAATTCTCTGTGTTTTTGTTTTTGTTTGTTTCTATTTAGGTAACTATAGCATCTTGTAAATAATCAACTAAATTATCTGCTGAAGCTCTTCGTGTGTTCTTAGAGTAGTCATCAAGTACCTACTCTGTGTCAGGCCCTTTTCCAGATCTTAGGGATGCTGAAATGGCAAACAACAATAGAATCTTGCACTCAGAACTTTGATTTCTTGTGTATGTGCATGTAAACACATTTGTGTTTAGGAAGGCAGATATAACAATAAGGTAGCAGACATAATGAAAAAGTTGGTTTATGGGGTAAAGGAGCATTACTTTTTACTTTAAGTCATGGACTAGATGGCAATTATAGGATATTGATGTGTCTTGCTATTTAATGTATGGTGGGGTTGAAAGCTTAAAGAGAACCAGGGGGAAGAATGGTAGATGCAAACGTGTACCCAGAATATTGAAAGGACAGCAGCAGGTAAGCACAGTGTTTCTGGAATAATGGGCAGTAATAAAGTTAAACAGGATGTCAGATCAGAGATAGATGATTGAGCAGTGTTGGAAACCTTTTGTAAAAATTCTAGAGACTAGCTTTTTACTGTGTGTAGTGGAAGCAATTGCAAAGTTGCCAAGGGAAAATGTCAGATAATATATGTTTTGCTTTATTTTGTTTATATTTTGTATGTGTACGCTGTGTGCCTGAGGATGCCAGGAAAGGGTGTCACATTCTTGCAAGTGCAGTTATGGATGGTGGTAAGCCATCATTTAGGTGCTGGGAATTGAACCCAGGTCCTCTTGCAAGGTCCTTGTTGCAAGAACAAGTGGCTTAAATCCCTGAGCTAACTTACCACCCATTTATGTTCTAAAAGAATGTTAGAACTAAGAATGCAATTCAGTGATAGAGTATCCTTGAGGATGTATAGTGTATGGGTTCACACACACACACAATCTGCCTTGAGACAAAAGGATGTATGTACCTGCTGTACAGGTAGGTACCATAGGAATGCAAAACTAGAAGCAGAAGCATTCATTGAAGAACTGGGTACAGTGATACAACTCAGATACAGTGTCCAGAACTGATAGTGTAGCGGTAATAAGAAGTGGCAAGACAGTGTTGGAGTTGAAACCCATAATTTGCTAAATTCAAAGAAGTTATGTAGCAATCCTCTTCTAAAAATTGAAGTTAATGCAACCAGTTAGCTTATTCTGACACTTCAACCATCCTACTTTCTAATCAAATTCTAGCACTCATCTTACGATGCCTGGACAGGGCCTCCATGTATTTTTCTTAATGGTAGCCATTTTCTCTCTAAAACCCTTCAGAAACTTTCTCACCTGGGCATGGTGCTGTACGCCATCTCAACACCCAGAAGGCCAGCCTGGTGTACATGTAGAGTCCCAGGCCAGCCAAGACTACATAGGAAGACCTGTCTTGAAGAAAGAAAATTCTTTTTATCCCCAGAGCATCTAATCATTTTCACCATTTCTTCTTTTTCCAATCAAGTGTGAGTTTTTCTTGGGACTCCTGTTCTCCACACTTTATCTCCGTTAACACACACACACACAGTTGTAAACTGATCACCCCTTCTCATATTAATCCCCTTTATTAGCC